TTAACTCTATAGTTTTAACCTTTTCACAGTATTATTTAGTTGGAATCAGACAGTGTATTGTCTTTTCAGACTCACACTTGGTAACATGTACTTGTGATTCTTTCTTGTCTTCTTGTGACTTGAAGCTCGTTCCTCTATAGTGCTGAATGATAGCCTATTGATTGGATGTACCACACATTATTACCCAGTCACCTATTGAAGAACATGTTGGTTGCTTTTAAGTTTTGGAAATTATGAATAAAGCTGCTATAAACATTATGTGCAGGTTTTTGTTTACACATGTTTGTAATTCCTTGGGTAGATACCAAAGAGTAGGACTACAGGAATCATATGGGAAGTGGTCTATTATATATAATCTAACACCTTCTCTTACTTGCACTCTAGAAAAAAGTCAGACAGTCCATCTCTGCTGAATTTGACTCTGTAGCTTCAGATTGCCGTTGAGTGACTTATTTTAGGCTTCGGGTTATATTTGATGTTCACAATGAATGGTTTTCATCTGCTTCATTACGTTAACATGATGGGAGGTGGAACATAGTTTTATCTGGCCCAGTAGCCTTCATATCTAAGGCAGATTTTTCAAGAACTTATAATGAGCTAAGCCCCATAGTTCTTGAAGAATGGTAGCTGTATCTTAACAGTTTCCACCAATCCCAAGTTTGGAGCCTAGTGGTTTTGCCTATTGACATCTTTTACTGTTGAGAGAAAGTGGTATCTTCAAAGATATTTTCATAAAACTTCTAGGCAGTTATTTGAATTTGGATAAAGACATGGACAAAGTAACATTGTGCTTTTCTCACAATTTTTCCTCTACTCAGCTGTGTGAAGAAATAACATTTAGATCTAGGAGTGGCCTTTCCTAGTCTGTACCTGTGTTCCCACCTCCTGCTGGGACACTAGAAAGAAAAGTGGAATTCTCTGTAAGACTTTCAACAGTAAATAGATTGCAGCCAACTCAAGTGATCTGATGTAGAGAAATATACCCCTTCTTCAAACGCTGGAAATTTCCCCCAGCCAGATGTCAGGAAGCAAATAATTTCAGCTTTGCTAATGTATAATTAGTGAACAGAGAGGGCTGCAAGGGAGGTTGGGGAAGGAAGTGGGAATTGTTCAAGGCCCAAGTCATAGACTGCACCCTGAGTTCTCTTGGCCCTGTGCCTGAACATGGGAAGCATTAAAGAACAAACAAAACAACTGACTGGCTAAGAAGCTAAAACACAGAACAGGTCATGTAGTCTTGACTTTGTGTGCTATTACTCTGTCCCTGTTGTCCCTAGTTTTGAGTATGACCTTACTTAAATTTCTATCAGTTTTTGTAATATAGACACAGAATAACCATTTTACAGCTAGAGAAATGGAGGCTTACAAAACTAAAGTAACTTGCAATCAGATATTTTCTGGTTGCTGGGACAAAATACCTAATACCTACAAGTTAAAGGAGAGGTTTATTTTAGTTCACAATTTGTAGAGGTTTCAGTCTGTAGTTGGCTGGCTCCAAAGTAGGGCAGCATGGGAGAGGAGAATCAGCTCATGATATTGCAGGCAGGAAGCAGGGAGACTTCCTTCTTTCCTTTTCTAGTCTATCTTGGCTGCAAGCCTATTGGTTGGTACCACCCACACCCAGGGGGAGTCTTCCCTCTTCAGTAAGTCTATCACCCACAACCAGAACTGCTAAATCAGTCAGTGGAATAATCCATTATCACACCCATGATCCAGTTACTGCCAAAAACTCCACCTGTGAGTGTATAAGGCTTTAGGGGGACATCTAGATACAAGCCACAACATTTCTCCTGGCACCCAGTGGACTCATGCATCCCTTTATGCATAAGGCATTTAGTCTTTTTTTTTTTTTTTGGTACCGGGAATCAAACTCGGGACCTTGCGCTTCTGAGGAAGGTGGCAGCACCACTGAGCTAAATCCCCAGCCCCTAGTCTATCTCTTAAGAGTTGCCAAAGCCCTAACAGTTTCAGTGTAGTTGAAAAGTCCAAGTCCCAAGTTTCCTCTGATATTTAAAGCAACCTCTTAGCTGTGAGCCCTTATACAAATGAAATGAAAGTTAAACACTTCCAACATACAATGGCACAAGCTAAACATTCCCATTCCGAAAGGTACAAATAGGAGGATAGAAAGGAATAGGGCCAAAGCAAGACCAGAATCTAATGAGGCAAACATTAAATCCCATAGTTTTATGTCCAGTGCCTGGGACAATCTGCGGTGAGATGTGAACTCCACAGGGCTCAGGTGCCTCCATCCCCATGGCAGTGCACGTTGTTGTAGCTCCCATGGCTTCTCTCTTGGGCTAGCTTTGCTCCCTCCTTGCAGTTTTCCTCAGACGATCATGTTCCTGGCTTCTCCAAACTTCTGGGGTCTCCAGGGCACCTTTGGCTTCACACTCACAGCTTCGCACACTGTCCTCCCAGGCCTTCTTCGGAAACCTGGGTGGAAGCCTCTCTAACCCCGTAACTCTTGCATTCTGCTTGTGCCTAAAATGAGCACCATATGGATAATGTCAAGATTTGTCACCAGCTGGAGCAGTATCCAGGCTTTCTTCTCTTTTGGTTGTAGGGATTGAGTGCTTGGATTGCTGAGTGCTGTGAACCCAAGCCTGAGCAACAAATTTCCTAGACCATTACCATTCTGGAACATAGTGCCCTGAGGTTCCCGTCTCAAAGCAATCTCTCCTTTGCAATTTTGAGGCTGCAAATGATGGCGTCCTGCTGGTTCTTGTGGTGCCCTCAGACCTTTTTTTTTGTTTTTTTTCAGACCTTCTTTTCTAATTTCTTCAACCAAGTTCTCATCTGATTGATCTTTGCTGGCCCCAACTTTACCTTAACTTCCTTTCTGGCCAAACTCAAAACTTTAAATCATTCTGCTGGGTCCTTTGGTCTTGATTCTCAACATAGATCTGCCTGAAAGCCCCCAACAGTAGCCATGCCACCACCTCAACATTAGAGTGCCTTGAAATTTCTTCTATTAGATTAGTTCACTGCCCTTAGTCTCTGTCTCCTACAAAGTCTCAGGGCACGATCGAAATGCAGACAAATTTTCTGTCAAAGCATAAGACACATGGCCTGGAGTCTAGCTGCCAGTGGAGTCCTTGTTCCAAACTGAAACCTCCAGAGCCTGGTCTTTACCGGCTGCATTTCTGTCAGCATTCTGGTCTTCTGAGCTCTGACCAGAACCTCCCATCAAGCTTGTCTCACAGCATTCTAGGGTCTGCTTCTTTAGGTGGCATCTCCAAACCTTTCCAGACTCTTCCCTCAAGCCAGTTCCAAAAGCTTTGAAACCATATGGCCAGGTAGCATCACAGCGATGACCCTGTTTCTGTAGTAGCAAAATCTGTCTCAGTTACTTTGTTGTTGCTGGAACAAAATACCTGACACCCACAAGTTAAGGGAGGAAATGCAGAGGAGAAATAATTCATGGTGTAGCAGGCAGGAAACAGGGCCTTCCTTTTTATTCCATCTAGGCTGCAAGCCTGCTGATTGGTACCAGCCATACCAAGAACTGTATAAAACAATCAGTGGACTAATCTAGTATTCACACATCCATAACATAGTCACTCCCAAAAGTCCTAGTTTATTGGGCATATGAGCCATTGGGGGGGACATTTGATGTAAGTCATATGCTGCCCAAGATCATACAGCCTAATCACGCAGTGTTAGAACCATAGTACAATTTGTAACCATACCAGATGATTCACAGAATTGAAAGGAAAGTTGAGAATTGAGGAGGAAAGCAAGAGAACCCAGGCAGCAGAGAGCCCAGCAAATCCACAGCACGGATGGTCTGATTTGAGCACCACACTTGATGTTTCTGCCACTGTTGGACTCTGGGAGAATCTATCATCTGTTGCTTTATTTTTGTGTCTTTCAAAGTTCATTGGACTGGGGGTGTAGCTCAGTGGTAGTGTGCTTGCCTAGCATGCATAAGGTCCTGAGTTCAGGCCCTAGGAAAAAGGAAAACAAAATTCAAGTGGGAGCATTGGCATAGTCAGCAGGCCTCATTTTATGTGCTAGTGTTTCAGCTGCTAGGAAGTGAAGTATCTGGCCTGCTTGGCTTCTGTATTTAGCATTGCTTGCCACCGAGACTGACACAACCAAAGATTCTTCCCAGATGGGAAGAGTATTTGGATGGTGGACAACAGCCATACAAAGGGCAAGTATCTACTGTTCCAGCGACGTCAACATGCATTTTGCTGCAGATTGGTTGAGCCGGGAAGCTATGACTTCCTTAGAAGCTGGCTAGTTTTTCCTGAGACCAAAGCCTGCTTATCAGAGTTAAACAGGACTTTCAGGAAGTATAGGAAATATAGAAGTTTCCACACAAGGACTGTTGGCTGTTTTTGATTTTTTTTTTCCACAAAAAGTGACTACTACAAAGGTAAATGACCAGCAGAACCAGCTGGATGCTAGGGGAAATCTGAGAAGGGAACATACAGATAGTGGGCCTACAGTGAAAATCTTCTCTGTCTTCTGGTTAATTCATCCTCAGTATGGTATTTTGAGACCTTGAACTTGCATGTTACCATGTAGTGTTTCATGGCAGCATTATCTAGTTAACCATATTAAAACATTTTCTTGTGAGAGAGAGAAAAAGAATTACTTTCCCCACATATCTTTGTCCTTCTAGACTCTTTGTGTTAAGAGTAGAGATCATACAGTTTTTATATCTTTAATATCTAGTATTACGCCTGGCATAGAATAGGCACTTTAAGAAAATATGTGAAGGGCTGGGGATTTAACTCAGTGGCACCGTGCCTGCCTTGTAAGCACAAGGTTGTAAGTTTGATCCCCGTTCCCCGCCCCCGCAAAATACATGTATATGAATGATTGACCAAATTTTTGTTAATTATCTTTTTCTAAAACTGAATTGGTTTTTATGAAATATGGGAATTTATAGTATATGTGTTTGAAATATTTCATAATTTTATAGATTAAAAATTCTAAATTTTCAGTGGGAGGAACCATTGGCACTCTGTCTGCTCTTGTTGTCACAGGTGTTCCAGGGTTTGGGGACTGAAGTACTATCTGGGGCTGCCACCGGCTACAACGTCTGTCTCTTTGCCTATGGACAGACAGGCTCTGGAAAGACATATACCATGCTGGGGACCCCGGTGAGTCTTAGTCCTGTCGTGAGCTGCTCTGTAATGTCACAGTGAGCCCACATTGTGTATTGTCCTTGCCTGTGTGACACACTGTGATTTCCGTAGTCAGTCAACTTTAGCAAGATTTACTCGAGCCCTCTTCTGTACATAAAATGAGCTTTTCACCACTGTAATTTCAAGGTAAACTTTTAATAATTAGTCCCTCTTTATTAGACTCTGAAGAACCTTAGAATTTTATAGGTCTCTTTGACAAAGCAGTCCTTGTCAAACTGACTGAATTTGTTATATTATCTCCAAGTTCATCACTTGAGACTTCTTAACCAGAACTGAATCTTTAGTGCTGACTGGGGCTGGGAGTAGATGAGATTATTTGGCCCAGTTCAAAGCTATGTGCGTTAGATCTATATGTTGGAAGGAAGCAGGAGAATTAACTGGGGCTGAGAGCTGTCCAAAATAGGTAGGGTTTAATGAGGGCTTTCCTTTATCACAGAGAATTAGGAGGGTGGCATTTCTTAAGGATACTTCTTGTTTTAGGTTCAGAAGTATCCCAGTGAGATGAACTGGTAGAGAGGGTAGCAACTGACACTATCTGGTGACATTGTCTAGGACACTGTCCTCTTGAAAGATTATCCTACTGCCTTGGAACCTGCTCTGGTTACTTTGTCCCTGTTTAGTGTTGGAGGATAAGCCCTTGAACTGGCTATGAGGTGGAGAAAGAAGCCACTTCTCTCTAGATACATATTTTGCAACCCCCGTGTCCTCTAGTCCTCTAGTGTTCAGGGATAAAAGGTAGGGACCTTAGGGAGCACAGTAGTAAAGTGGGTTTATTCAAGAAGAATGTCACCTACGTTGCATGAAGGCACATGTCTAGGTTTGCTAGCTTCTCCACCCTCTGTCTTAGGGTGATAATTTGCCCCTCATCGGTGCTTTCCTTTCTCAGGTGTCTTGATAGCATGGGCACCTAAGTCGCTGTACACTTCAGTGAAGCCTCCTAATGTAGAAAGTGTAGAACAAGGAGCCAGAGAGCCATCCTTCATCCCGAGGGGGTTTCCAGGATATTGGGTGGGGGGACTACTGCCCAGAGTAAACAGTAATGCTTTCCTTTCTTCTGTTCTCCAGGCCTCTGTTGGGCTGACACCACGGATATGTGAGGTATGGACTCTTGACCAGATTTTCTAAAGTAGGTCTCCTTTGTCCACTCCCTTTAGTGAGATCCCACTCCTTTGGTCTGTGCAGGGCCTCTTCATCAGAGAGGAAGACTGTGCCTCATTACCTTCCTCCTGTAGGATAAAAGTGAGGTAAGACCCCATCAAGCTCCAGGACCTGCAATGTTTGGTATTTCCTTTCCAAATTTCAGCATGTTCAGCTGTTCTTTCATCTTCCAAAGTCACCAGAAGGATGGAGAAAAGCCACAGCAGACAACTCTTGCATTACAGGAAGATGAGGAATGTCTTAGGTTCTTGGGTCATAGGAAACTTAATTTCCTCCCTGTGAACTTAACAAGCAGTTCTTTCTGTGGCCCCTCTTGCCCACTTAGCCTGTCTCACTTCCCTTTCTTTCACTTTCTGTTAGCTTTTCATTGCTGTGATCCAATACCTGAGAAAATCAATTTAGAAGAGGAAAGATTTATTGTAGCTCCTGATGTCAAAGGTTTCAATCCATGGTCGGCTGGCTTCATAGCTTTTAGACCTGTGGCAAGGCAGAGCCATCATGACAGAAGGACATGGCAGAAGAAAGCTGGTCCCTTCATGATAGCCAGGAACGTGAGGTGAAGGGGTGGGTGCCAGATGAGAAGGCGCCAGGGCAGGACACATGCCTATGAACCACTGCTAGTATATTCAGCTATGAACTCATCAGTAGACTAATCTGTTGATGAGATTAACACCCTTGTGATTTAAACATATCCAAAAGCCCTACCTCTGAACACATGCGGCTTTTGGGGGACCTCTTAGATCCTGTATAGTTACCATACTTACTGTATGGTTTCATATCAGCTTTAGGGACCTCTCTTCCCAAGCCCCTTCTTTGTTGTTCTATAGGGCAATGGTTCTCAAACTGTAGTTCCCAGACTACAGCTAGCTTTTCTAAGATTAATTCTGTGTTTTGTTTGTTTGTTGAGTGTTTGGTGTCCTTTAAACAAATCAAGATGTAATTCACCTACCATAAAGTGCACTTGTCAGCCAGGAGTAGTGGTATATACCTATAATGCCAGCTACTCAGAAGGTGGAGGCAGAAGGATCCCAAATTTGAGGTAAGCTTGGGAAATTTAGTGAGACCTGTCTCAAAAATACCAAAAAGAAGCTAGACATGGTGGTGCATCCTTGTAATCTCAACACTTGGGAGACTGAGGCAAGAGGATACCACAAATTCAGGGTCAGTCTGGGCTACATAGTGAGACCTTATCTCAAAAAAAGAAAAAAAGATGAGAATTGTTCTGCTTAAAGCAGGGGCAAGGACTAGACTTTTTTTTTTTGATACCAGGGATCGAATTAGGACCTTGTGGTTTCCAGACAGGTGCTGGAACCACTGAGCTAAATCCCCGGCCCTAGACTTATTTATTTATTTATTTATTTTGGTGCCGGGGATCGAACTCAGATCCTTCCGCTTGTGCAGCAGGCGGTGAAACCACTGAGCCAAATTCCCAGCCATTTTTTTTT